AAATATATAGAGAGAGAGAGAGAGAGAGAGAGAGAGAGAGAGAATGAGCCCTAGCTGTCCTGGAACTCGCTCTGAAGACCAAACTGGCCTACAGCTCACAGAGATCCTCCTGCCTCTGCCTCCTGAGTACTGGGATTAAAGGTGTGAGCTACCATGCCTGGCCCATGACTTCTTAAACTAATTAAAGAGACAATTTTCACTTGAGAGCTGGAATGGGCACTTTTGTATACAGTACAATGTTCTCAACATGGCGCTCCTTTCCAGTTTGTCAGCTGACACAGATTCAGTCCTCTCTAATGCTCGTACTGCTGGGGACACTGCAGTCACAGAGCAGGGCTCATCTGCCATAGGGACTGCGTCTCTCATCTGACATGTGTGGAGCAAACGCTCTAAACAGCACCGTTCTGACCTGATAGTTCACCGAGGAAGGGTGAATATGCACGTATCCGTCGTTCTTCGTGACAAACTTCAACTCAGCTGACTTCGGCTGCAGTCTGACAACTCCAGTACTGGTCTTCTGGAACTTTCCTTCTGGGGTCTTGACCTATACAACAGTATTTATAAAGGTAGATACACATTTTTTCTGTAGGACTCATTCTTTGGCACAAACATGTCTTGTTTGAATAGTTTTTGTTTCTTTTTGTTGTTGTTGTTGATTTTTTCAAGGCAGGGCCTCACTGTACAAACCCAGGTTACCCTGGAACTTACTATATAGACTGGTTGGCCTCAAACCTGTGGTCCTCCTCCTGTCTCATCTCTCTAGTACTGGTGTGCGTGTGTGTGTGTATGTGTGTGCAGGCATGCACGCCATGTGGAGGTCAGAGGACAGCTTGCATGAGCTGGTTCTCTACTCCCACCATGTAGGTCCCAGGGATCAAACTCAGAATGTAGGCTTTAAGGCAGGCACCTTTACGCATTGACCCACTGACCCATCTCTGGCCCAGGACTGCTTTTTTCTTTTTCCTGAAATAGGGTTTCCGTGGCTGTCCTGGAACTCTCTTTGTAGGCCAGGCCTTAAAAATCATAGAGACCCAGCTGCCTCTGCCTCCTGAGTCTGGGATTAAAGGTGTGTGTCAACATCGTCTAGCCACAGAGCTTCCTTTTAAACTTTGTTTACTGAACACATTTTTATATTTGTTCAGGATTTTCCTAAAGAATTGTTATCAAGAGTTATATAACACCTCATTGTAAGTATCTGTAATTTCACCATTAAACTGTCTCACAGAGATCTACCTGCCTCTGCCTCCCAAGTGCTGGGATTAAAGGCACATGTCACCATTGCCCAGCAATTTTTTTTCTTTTTAAGAAAGGGTCTCTGCCCATCAAAATCCCAGCAAAATTCTTTAAGGACCTTGAAAGAACTGTACTCAACTTCATTTGGAAAAGCAAAAAACCCAGGATAGCAAAACAATCCTGGGCAATAAAAGAACTTCTGGAGGCATCACAATCCCTGACTTCAAACTCTACTACAGAGTTACAGTACTGAAAACAGCCTGGTATTGGCATAAAAACAGACAGGAGGACCAATGGAAGCGAACAGAAGACCTGGATAGCAAACCACACATCTTCGAACACCTGATCAAAAAATATCAAATAAAAAAAAGAAAGCATATTTAACAAGTGGTGCTGACATAGCTGGATATCAACATGTAGAAAAATGAAAATAGACCCATATCTATCACCATGCACAAAACTCAAGTCCAAATGGATCAAAGACCTCAACAGAAAGCCAGTCACATTGAACCTTATAGAAGAGAAGTGGGAAGTAAACTTGAACGCATTGGCACAGGGAACCACTTCCTAAATAGAACCCCAGCAGCAGACACTGAAACAATTAATAAATGGGACCTCCTGAAACTGTAAAGCAAAGGACACGGTCAACAAGACAAAACGACAGCCTACAGAATGGGAAAAGATCTTCACTAACCCCACATCAGACAGAGGTCTGATCTCCAAAATATACAAAGAACTCAAGAAATTGGACACCAAAAGATCACATAATCCAATAAAAAAAATGGAGTACAAACCTAAAAAGAGAATTCTCAACAGAGGAATCTAAAATGGCTAAAAGACACTTAAGGAAATGTTTAACATCCTTAGTCATCAGAGAAATGCAAATCAAAACAACTCTGAGATTCTATCTTACACCTGTTAGAATGGCCAAGATCAAAAACTCTGATGACAACTTATGCTGGAGAGGTTGTGGGGAAAAGGGAACACTTCTGCATTGCTGGTGGGAATGCAAACTGGTTCAACCCCTTTGGATGTCAGTGTGGCGATTTCTCAGAAAATTAGGAAACAATCTTCCTCAAGACCCAGTAATACCACTTTTGGGTATATATCTAAAGGATGCTCAATCGTGCCACAAGGACATGTGCTCAACCATGTTCATGGCAGTTGTGTTTGTCATAGCCAGAACCTGGAAACAACCTAAATGCCCCTCGATTGAAGAATGGATAAGAAAAATGTGGGGCTGGAGAGATGGCTCAGAGGTTAAAAGCATTGCCTGCTCTTCCAAAGGTTCTGAGTTCAATTCCCAGCAACCACATGGTGACTCACAAAATCTGTAATGAGGTCTGGTGCCCTCTTCTGGCCTGCAGTCATACACACAGACAGAATGTTGTATACAGCTGGGCGGTGGTGGCACATGCCTGTAACCCCAGCACTTGGGAGGCAGAGGCAGGCGGATCTCTGTGAGTTCGAGACCAGCCTGGTCTACAGAGCTAGTTCCAGTACAGGCTCCAAAGCTACAGAGAAACCCTGTCTCAAAAAGCCAAAAAAAA